CGTGAATTATGAGACATTTCATTTTCAAATTCATCCATATTCTAATTAAATAAAATTTAGTGTTGAAATTCCTATTTTAATAATCTTGGAATTTCGTAAATATTAATAAAACGAAAGGTTAAATTACGAAACAATAAAAAAAACTAAAAGACTACTTTTATCAGTCATATATATATGGCTTATTGCTCATTAGTTTAATCGAAACTATAGAATTGGTTCACAAGTATATTCAATCAACTTATGTTACAATCAAAAATAATTATTCTATTTTAATGTAATCATTGAATTTTGAAATCATGTAATGAAAGTCTCTACTATCTGAGAATATAAGTCCGTAGATGAGAACGATGGAAAAAAGCATGTTCTTGAACCTATTTGAAAACAGTATTAACATGTTATTTATTGGTCTTTATTCTCATTTCAATACTATCATTTACATTGATTAAAAAAAAAGCTTAATCTTGAAAACGGAATCACTCGTTGGATGTCTATAGAGATATGCAAGACCCAAAAATAAACATTTACCGGAACTAAAATTATGAGAGAAAAAAGTTATTTGAACTAGAACTCAAAATTTTAACGAAATTTTCTATGGTTTTTAACGAATTACGTTATAATTCATAGTAATCGAAGCAAAATTTCGAAGAGATAACCAAAAAAAATGATATTGTTCGGCTAAGTGAAGGTTTCTCCCTTCAAAAAGTCGATTTTCGTCGAAAAATGATTTATTTTAAAGAGTTTTTTTTTCTTTAAAGATTCTGGCGCTGGCTGTAGTAACTATAAACACCATTGGCATATCATGTTTGCATTTTTCTCAAAATTGATTTTATGCTGATGATCAGACTCCGAACAAATTTTTTTCAAGTATACTTCATTATAGAGAGTTGCGGTTTTTTTGTTTATTGGGGCATTTGATACTTCTTTGGATCAGGAGAAGAGATTTTTTAAATAGGCTCTAGGTCTATAGAAAATCTCTAATAGCTATTCAAGATTTTACATGTTTCAACACCACCATAAGTTAAAGAGAGTAACAATAAAAAGTCCTTTCTTCTCATCCGAAGGGGCAAACAGTTCTCTTTCAAAAAAAAAAACACTTCTCACTTCTACATCTTGAATTATAGTGAAAAATATTTGTATAGATCGAGGGTCCATTTTGGGTCTTGATATCTAGAAAACTACTGAATGCTGGAGTTTGCAGAGGTAATCAAAGTTCTTAAGTTTACTTTTATGGATCCAACATTTGTGAAAAGTTCTAGAGAGATTCCGTGCGCTATATCGAAAATCGATTTTGAAGATGGAAGAAGCCTTCATCAAAACATGAGTATTTAAGGATGTTCTCCTCTATTTTTGGCCATTTCTAGTTCTCAACGAGAGTACAACCGATCTGTATGAAATTTTTACTACAGAAAGAGCACCTAAAATAAGGAGATCCATGTTCGAGGGAAAAAAGTTGTAAACGAGGTTTCCACAGTTTTTCGAGAAAATTCTAGTTTTCCATAGGACTCTCGTCTAATTTTGTCCAATCAGGCTGAAAATTTTTTTGAGATACCTTAGACTATATCTCAGGAGTGATTTAAGCTTCTTTTTTATGAGAGAAATACATAAAGTTTTAGATCCAGAATCGGGTTGCTGGTGTTCAAGACTTCATAAGTCGAAATATGAAAATTATCAACGAAAAAGGCTGATTTCATCTCTGGAGAATATTTCCAAGTGTCTGTGGTAAAAATTTCATGCAGATCAGTTGTACCCTCTTCGAGAACCAGAATTTGTCAAAAAAGAGGGGGGTATCATTAAGACATTTTTTTTTTAGATCTAATACAAATAAATTCTGAAATAGTTTTTTCTTTGTCGTGGCCAAAATCAGGGCTAAAACTAAAAATCTTCGTCCTGCACATCTCTAGATGTATAATGTGAGTTTAACCTATCAGTATATAAAATATCTATTTCAATAATATCCGGTAATTTTTATGATCGAATGCAAAATGATATATATATATATATAGTATTTGTCCGCAAAAGTGCTAAAAAAGAAGAGAACATAGAAAGTGTTTATAGGTTGTAAAAAAGAAGGATATGAACAAGATAATGTTAAAATTTTATGTTTTCGATTTCAAATAACAATATCATTCATGACCAAAGTAGTATCGATATCGATTAAGAATAAGTTTAGAATTATTCACCCTCATATAAGGAATCATATAAGTAACATCGATTCAAATAAAAAAAAAAACAAGAGAATTTTACAATCGTCGAATATCTTTTATAATCAACTTTTTTTCAATTGGCAAGAAAAAAAAAGAAGAGATGTACTCAATCAAGATTACTGTGAACACTTATTCATCATTTTCTAATCATCCAATATATGCCGTATGCATACTTCAATTTTCCCATAACTTTGAAAAAATTTTTTTTTTTAATAACAACTAAATAGTCTACGCCAAGTGGAAAATTACTGGTTCTCTTTCATCTGTCTGAAGAACATACTTAATCATTCAGCATAGTGAAAAAAAAAAACTATGAACAAGACTACTTTTTTTTTTCTTATTCGACCAATACGTTTTTTTAACCAATCACCTTTTTTTTTGTTTCTTGTCTGTTTTTTTTTCTTATCATCGAACGAGAGAAAGTATAACAATACATTTGATCATATTACTCGAGTATGTGAAAGGCGAGAATTTGTGTCTATATATCATCATCATCATCATCATCATCTCCGTTCTCTCTAAATATGATGAAATCGAGCACACCAAGCTCCTCTTATCATCATTCAGCATACGATTATCATCATCATCATCATAATTTTTCTGCAACATCATCCAATGTTTATCCATCTTATTATCCAAATCATTATATATCTCAATCCAATATTTCAACAAAAATTGAGAACGATGATTCATCAAATTCAACATTAACATCATCACCTACAACAAATAATACTCTTCTACAAAATCCAATTATTCTTAAATTACCAAATAATAATAATAATAATAATAGTATTGAACAAACAATAACTTTAACAATTGATCATTTAGCTTGTGTATGCGAAGCTATTCAACAAAGTGGTAAAATTGATAAATTAATTAAACTTTTACAATTATTACCATTAAAATCTTCATCACCTGATGCTGTATTAATACATCAACATGATAGTATATTAAAAGCACGTGCAATTATTTATTATCATCAATCAAAATTTCGTGAATTATATTATTTATTAGAATCACATACATTTGATAGTCATCATCATTCAGAATTACAACAATTATGGTATAAAGCACATTATATGGAAGCACAAAAAATACGTGGTCGTCCATTAGGTGCTGTTGATAAATATCGTATAAGACGAAAATATCCATTACCAAAATCTATATGGGATGGTGAAGAAACAATTTATTGTTTTAAAGAAAAATCACGACAAGCATTAAAAGAATGTTATAGACAAAATCGTTATCCAACACCAAATGAAAAACGTTTATTAGCAAAAAAAACTGGTTTAACATTAACACAAGTTAGTAATTGGTTTAAAAATCGACGACAAAGAGATCGTACACCACGAACGTAAGTTATGCCCTTTTCAAAATAAGAGAAGTAAAAAAGAAAAATTGCCACTTATCTCGAACATTATCCGTCTTATATATCTAATAGTCATGGCACATTTACAACCTAACCACTTTTCACTTAATGAAATATTGAAAATGTCAATTGTTTTCTTTTTAATTATTAGTCAAGATCTTCAAACATCATTATTGAATCAAGCTGCATATTTTGCTGCTGGTTCTGTATATTCTCATGGTTTATTTGCAACGACACCATCATCATCAATAAATACTTCACTACCAACGAACAATTCAACATTTATTCATCATTAATCAACAAAAAAAGAACGAACCAAACAACACTTTTTTTTTCTTTTTCGGTCTTTCTAGTCTGTTAATAAAAAAGAAAGAAATTATTGGTCAATGGAAGTTTTTTTGTTTTGTTTGATAAGTAATGAATTTAATTAATTTTCATCACTGAAAACTGAGTATAAACGTGCGCATCAGATTAGCATATGGTAGAGTGATGACAAAAAAAAGCAATTTTTTTTAGTTCTATAAAAGTAGTGATGCACTAATGATCATCTAGAATGTTTCCTATAACATATAATCATTTGCCAATTATGTTATTTCATCCGTGGCGCATCTGGTTACCTTCTTTCTTTCCCAGCTACCTGCTGTATTTTGTCATTAGAATACAAAACAGAAAGATGACACGCGTATTATAAATAAAAAACCATGTCATATAATTGATAATCATAATGTGCACAAAAAAAAAAATTGAATTTGTCGTCTTTTTTCACTAATCACAAAAGTATACAGAATCAAGCAAGTTATTTGATGCCGTCATTATCATACGGAAAGAAAAATCTGTCTCTTTCGTTATTCTTTTTTCTTTTTTTTTTAAATGAATATTAGCATTAAAAAGTATGTGTGCGCTATATGACACTTATGCACACATACATTAAAAGTCAGTCTGTACACGCGTATGATACAAAAGTATACTCATGTCAATCAACTTCAAATAAGATGTGTACATTTTTGTTTGTTTGAAGGAAATAAAAGAAGAGAATAGACTTTTATCGATTATCTAATTTAAGATTAATTGTTTTTTCAGTTATAATATAAATGACATTTCTATTCATGATAATAATTTCTGTACTATAATAATATTCTAAATAGGGATTTGAAATCTGATAGAATATTCTGACGTACTTCAAAGCATATGTGGGAGAAGAGAAAAAAAAAGTCGCATTAGTCTAAGACTCTATTTCTCTATTCTATTTATAAATCATTAAATTAGATATGCTCATTGCACAAAGGTTGATGCGTACAACAAATAATTTCAAGCTTTATTCGATGCTACACATATCGAAAATAAACATCGATTTTTTCATTATACTATTCTGAAAAAATTAGAACAAATGTCAGCAATATAAAACTTTCAATGGATTCATCAACAATTTATAATACATTTTTTGCTATGCTTACTAATATTTGAATAAGACCGCCTGTAGGTCTTGCATTCGAAGGAAAAACAATCAATGATCCATTATTATTCGATAATTCACAAAGACCTGAGATAATAAACATAGATATTTTTTAATTAATAAAAATCAATTATTATAAAATAAACCTCTCGGATTTGCTCTTGTATGAATTGTATGTAAAAGTCGACATTTAGAAGGGAAAGAAAAAATATGTATTTTGTCCACAAGTATTACTAAAAGTCTGTGTAACAAAAAAAAAAACCAAAACATAAACTAAAGAAAAGAAATATATTAGTGTCCAATCTCGGATCGACTAACATATTAAATTACAACAAAAATTAACTATACCACATGAAATTGTATTTTCAAAAAAGGGTATATGTAGGTATGAATGTACTTGTTCTCTTCGCTCTACTGCTGCATTCGCAATCGAGATATGAATTAACTTCTTTTTTTTTTTTTACTATTTCGAAGTTTGCTAGGCAAATCTGAGATTGAACGCTAACATATATTATATATTTTAAACCTTGTTCGTGACATTCGTATAGAAATAACCGATGAATTAAAGCTAAGTTCAAGTACATGTGCTTTACGTTGATTATCATAGATATTAACTAAAATATATTTTAATTTGAAAAAAATAATAATAATAATAATAATAAATATTTTTCTTCTTACCAACATGTGATGGTAATCCAGTGGCATGTTCTGCTGGTACATAAGCAATTAAATTCGTACGATAAAGCATTTCAGCATAAGTAGTAGGACCAACATCTAAATATAAATTGCAAATAATAATTAAGAGAAAGTTATTTATAACGTTTATTACCTAGATAACATTTTTGAGTAAGTGGTTCAACATTAAAAATATGAATACCATTATATGTTGTACAAATAAAACAACCTAATAAATTATTTTTAATATTTCACTGTTTATTTAGGTTATGACTTGTAAATGTTCTAGTAAAATACTAAGAATTTTTGATTTATCATTCGCTAAGTAGTCAATGAGTACTAGTTTTTATTTTTAGGAGACGCTTACGAGAGAGCCATTCGAAATGATTTATCAATTTTAAGCCTTTAGAGAAGACTTTCTAGATAAGAATGATTTGAATCCATAGATATTTTTAACAGCAGCTACAATAATTTTAAAAGATTTTTACCATAGAACAGAGTATTGACAAGAAAATTGAACAGAGAACTTTTGATCTAAAATGTTTGCTAATAAATAAATTTCATAATCCTACGAAAATTGTAAAAATTTCAATGAAAATGGCAGCTTTCTTCTTAAAATATTCAACGTTCAAAAATCAATTAGATTTTCGATATTGAATATTTCATAGAAGAAAGCAGCCATTTTGAATGAGACTTTTCAGATATTTTAAGATCACGAGATCTATTTATTAAAAAAAATATTCCAGTTCAACCATTCATTGTTCAAGTTTTACTTCCAATATCCTATCCTACGATATGCATCCAGCAAAGCTATCGTAACTCTACAGAACAGACTTCTAGATTTGAATTCTGTTGAGTTTATTTTAGTCTTACTAACGAGAAAAGTCCTCCAACTGATAACTTGCGTTTGAATCGAAAGTATGTGCATTATATGAACCCAAATAAATGAATGCTTTAGTTCTTCTCAGACATAGCAGGAAACACTTTTTCGAATTTTGACTTGAAACAAGTCTTAACGAGATTAGTTTAGCGTGTCCTTTACATCATTCTTATAAACCGACGGATTCGATATTCTTATTTCAGGATAGCAGTAAATCAAAAGATCTGTTTCAAGTCGAAATCTGAAACAGAGTTTTCCTAGTATCCCTGAGGGAGATCACAATATTCATAGCTCATTTGAATCTACATAATGCACATAGTCTTAATTCAAAAGCGGTTAGTCGGTTAAAAAATTTTCTTCTTGATTCTAGAAACAGCCATAATATGGAATAATGGTAAATTGTAATCGAAATATTTTAATATACTTATAAAAATAGAATAATGAATGTGATATTCCGCTTGCATAAACATAAAGACAATCAATTCAAGTGACTCGTTTTTCTGTATCATATTAACAGTAGAAATTATAGAAGAAAAACTAAAAAGAATATTATTGTTTTTTTCATTTCGATATTTTTTTATTACTTCGATATGCACATAATACTAAGAAAACTTTCTATATCACATACTTGAATCTTGATTGAAACGTAAACTAAATACGTGAACTGTTTTATTTGTACCTCTGTTAGATGACATTAGATATCTGAAAAAAAATCATGTATTTTTCATTTTCATTTATAATCACACTACAATATAAAAATCGACAAGTTGAACAATTTCAACAAACATAACAGATATGAAAATAGATGGATAAATATTCAAAAAATAAAAAAGATTATTATTAAATGTACCGAGTTGTATTCAATAAAAAAATTCATGAATTACGAGTTGTAAATGTATAATCACATGCATTTTCTTTTGACCAATCTATGTCAGATAATACAATATCAACGGTACCTAAAACATGATTACCAACATTTAAAACATTATTCCAAATGCCTACATGTAGAATACGTCTAAATACAAAAAAAAGAAAAATAATACAAACATATTTCTATTTGATAATATTTTTTTCATGTAATGTATACTTTTGAATTTCAGCTAAATCCATTTCGTATGTGAACTAAAAATTAAACAAAAAATGAAATTAATTTATTGAATATAAATTAATTCATACTGTATCATTAAATATTGGATTACGTGAATTAGCAAGTTTTCCTTTTCGTTTTGTTAATTTAAATTCATCAGGAAATAAATAACATTTACAATATGGTTTTGGTTCATTACCATTTATTAATGGCTAAATCAAAAAAAGAAAAAAGATAACTTATAAAATATGATTATGCGAAATTTATTTACCAAATTATTAGCATGACGAGCCATAACAAAAAGTTTTCTATTATCATATGTTAATTGTATACGAATTTTTGATGGATTATTTGTTGATGAAATCTGTGAAGAATGAGGAGCGAGTCCTTGATAAAAATAAAAATAAAAATGATTGAAATCGAAATACTTTCTATGTATATATGATTAAGATATTATTCACCTTCGTTAGATTTTTCTTTTGCATCATTGATTTGTTGATCTCGTTGAGTTGTATGAAAAAATGTACAAACAAGATCAGACTATAATAACAAAAGTAAATATTCTTAGAGAAGTAGTCTATTCAAAATTTTCATGTGGTGAGAATAAGAATATCTCTCTTGATTTTTAGTTATTCAAAAATTATAAACACTACATCTCAAAATTACAAAAACAAGATATTTTTGATTTTTTTCTACAGTGATGTCAAGCATCTCACTGAAAGTCAAATAATGATTTTAACAGTCAATGAAGTTCTCTATTAGATGTATTGTAGATCAAGGTTCTATATTGGACTATGTAAGACATTTTTCTAAAAACTGAATATGGTAGGTCGCTTTTAACATTACCATATGGAAGAGCGAAAAATTTTGTACAAAATGATGGGTTACTGCGTTTTCTAAGACTTTCTCTTAAAAAGTTACAAGTAGTATAAAAAAATAAAACAATGAAAAGTCTAAAATCACTGACTATTTTTTGTGTTGCTGGTAACTTTGTAAGGGAGGGTCATAAAAACCGCAGTCACCCTTTATTTTGTTCAAAATTTTATGCTCTGTTAAATGGTACTGCTAAAAGCAAACTACCATATTCAGTTTTTTTTTAGCAAACTTTCCCCCCATAGTTCAATACAAAACTTTGATCTATAATACATCTGATAGAGAACTTGATTGACTACCAAAATCACTATTTGCCTTTTGATTAGGTACTTGACATTACAACAAAAAGAAATTAAAAATACTTTGTTCTTGTAATTTTGGGAAGTAATATAGTCATAATGAATCACCGATATTTATTAGAAATTGACATAATTAAAATTTTGGAACAGTATACCAGAATATTTAGCAATCTATGAAGGAATTTCAAACTATTTGCAACATCTTTGAAATTATGTGTATATGTGTTTTGTTTTGAGACATGCCAAAACGTTTACTATCGATTTTAAAAAGTTTTTAAAGCGATCATATTTGTCAAAGTTTAGTGGAGTTTCGTGAAATCATTGAATGTTGAATTCAGTCAAAAATTCTAGATTTTATATAACTCAATAATCAATCTTCTCAATAGTTGATTATTGTTGCTCTTAACATTTCAAACAATGAGAAATAAGTTAGAATCTTATTTTTGTGAAAGACAAGCTAAAAGAAGTGTTGAAGTATACAGTTAAAAATTTGGACAACATCTCATTATACTATATGAACTAGTTCCTTATTGCATTTTCAAAATAGATAGAATAAAACAATCTCGTATCACAGATGGAACCAGTCTAGGTAGATCAGACGAGTTGATGTACTATTCTATTTGTGGATAGTAATATTCGATGTAATCAACTTTCAACAGAGTTTCATTATACATCTTCTATGAGATAATAAAAGTAAAAGAATAAATAAGACGCATCAGTAATTGGTATTGGTTCCATCTCTGTCTCACAATGATTAGCAATAGCAAATAATATATTATATTTCACATTTTAATTCCGTTAGGATTGTTCTAACAACTTTTTTTGTGTTTAGTTTAACTTTTTAAATTGAACCTGCAAAAAGATCTTCTAAAATTTATTTTCATCTTTAACACATTCTCAGAATTATTAACATTGCGTAACAACTTTCGCAATCATTTGACATATATGTTTATTTTCTATTTTCAAATCTTTGAACAAATTTATATATTTTTCACAAAATTTTATAATGATATTATTTTCTAAAAATTTCAAAACTTTTTTTTATTAATTTACCTCAGTAATTTCACTTGTTAAATGAAATAAATTTTCAAGAAATTCATTAATATCTCTGAGATGTCTTTGAGCAATGATATTATCTTCTGTTTGTTCAGAAAATTTCAAATCAAGACCAATTAATGGAAATTGTTTATTTAAACGTTCATAAAATTCATAAAATTCATTGTATGTACGATAATTATATGTTGTATTTAAACGTACAACTTTTAATTCATATAAATAATATTTTGAAGATTTTATTCGTTTTTCATAATTAACAACTTGTACAAATAAAATTTTTCCATCTGTAGATACTGTATATGTTTTTGGTACAAATGATAATATCGTATCTTTAGATGTTAGACCTAATGAATTATTTGAATTTGTTGGTTGTGCAATTTTATGTATTAAACCATTCAATGTTGTCCATGTAGAATTAAGACTATCAACAATAAGTTCAGTAAAATGTGTTATACTTTCAGCATAATTTAATGATGGTGCTAAACGATCATAAACAAATCGAACAGCATCATAAGTAAGATTAGGTACATTTGATGAACATAAATGTGAAAGAAGAATTAAAAGTAGAGAAGAATTTTGACGTAATATACAAAATGCATTACAACATAAATCAACAAAACGATGCATTGCATCATTTGATGTACCACCATCAGACATTGCATATAACATTTGTTTTGTAAATATAAATGGAGCACGATCACTAGAAATGAATAGTATAGTTTTAAATAAAATCAAATAATAAATGTTTACATTGATTTTTTTTTGTTATAAATAAATATTGATAGATTTAAATTTTATTTTCTATTCAATATTTTTGACATGTTTATGAGATTGAAGAGTTTAGATCAAAAAATAAAATGTTTAGTTTTTCTCTCTAGATTGTTATTTAATACTTGAATAATTCTTTTGAAAACTTTATATTTTAAATACAATTTTATATGTAATTAATTAATGACGATAGGTTTAAAATATTCTGAATATCTATATTAGTATTGTTAAAACAAGAAAACTTACCGATTAAACCAACCAAATTTTTGTCTATCACCCAGATATTTTCCAAAATCAATATGAAATAAATGTCCAGATTTTTTCACCATAATATTTTCATTATGTCGATCACCAATACCTAATATATATGTTGCTACACAATAACCAGCACATGAATATGTTAAATTATCTAAAGCTATTCGAAAATCTCTTTCATTTGCATTATGTGAACTTAACCAATCGTATAAAGCTGATTCACCAAATGAACCTTTGATTGTTCCTAAAGGTTTTTCAATTTCAAGTAATGTTTCACTTTCTGTAATCATTTCAATAAAACCACAACGTTCTTGTGTTTGTACAACATTAAATAAACTTAAACGAAAATCAATATCATTCGATTTCCATATTTTATCCATACAAGTTAATAATTGTAAAACAATTTGATCTTGCTATAAACAAATAAATTAAGAATAAAATCTTATTCAAAACAAAAACTTACACGTAGATCATCTCCAATTTTATAAATTGAATAATATTTTTCAGATGATAAATCTATAGAATTAAAAACAAGTTTCATTGGCCATGTTAATGAACGAAATATTGAACAAGATTTAATATCAATATTATTTGTTATAAAACTAAATTGACATGGTAAACGACATGAACGTTGATTTGATTGAAAAAATTCTATATTTAATTTTTTTAATTCTTCAATTAAATAATATCCTTTATTTAATGTATTATTTTTTAATTCTAAACCAATATTTTTTAAATTTATACATAAATTATATTCATTTTCTAATTCAATATAAAAATATTCTTCAATAATATAAAGTAATGACATAAATATATAATAATAACGTATAAAATGAATATTTTCTGTTAAAAGTAATTGTCTTAAATACCAATATAATTTATGTGCTAAATAATAATCATTTATACATTGTTGAAGTAAATATTCTATTATTAGTGATGAATAATAATAATCAAATTTAATTATTTGTAAAATTTGTGGTAAATAAATCATAAGTTCATATGATGTTATATGTAATATTAATGATCGATAAGCACATGAACGTATATACATATCAGGAAAAGCAGGTAAAAGAAGTTCAAATGATTCAATTGCATCTATTTTACGATGATGATTTATTTCATTGACAAGACTATAGATATCAATTAAACTTGGATAATCCCAAACAGAACGAGATCTAAGTAATTTTGGTAATGCATATGGTTTATGAATAAGAAAATCACGATTTGACCATAGAAAGTGACTTTCATTGGTAAATTCATAATCTAAAATTATCATATACAATATAAATACAAGAAAGTAGTTAAATTTTTTTTTCAAGGTTTTTTTATCGAGATGTCTCAAAACTATTTAATTTTT